CCCCGCACATCCCCCAACCCCAAATATAATCCACTCTGCAACCCTCATTGTGTACTCCTACAATAAACATAATGCCCTAAAATATAATACTTTTATTCTCTCCCCCATAGACTTCAATGCCGTAAACATATTTCATACATTCTTACTATAGTGTATTAGAGTCCTCATTACTTATTTTCTTTTTTATTTTAACTATCTTGTTGGCTGTGATGTATTATCTCACTGTGGGTTTTATTTGTATTCATCTCATAATTAATGATACTCAGTATCTTTTTGTGCTTATTGGCATAAGTATATCTACTCATTTACTCAGATCTTCTGCCTACTTTTTAATTATTTTCATTATTAAGTTGTAAGCTTTCCTTGAATATTCTAGGTACAAGTCCTTTATCACATATATGACTAACAAGTATAGTATTTCCCTTTTTGTGGGGTGTCCATTTATTTTCTTCAAGGTATCTTTTTGCTACCATATTTATTTCACTGCCATATCTAACTCAAAGTAATAAGAGTATCATCATATATTCTCTTCTAAGAGTTTTATAGTTTTAGTTCTTCATAGTACCTTTTAAAAAATTTTGCAAACAAATGGAAAAGGGTTATTAAAGTGGTAAGACAAAGAGTCATAGCTGGTGAACGGTAGACCACAGAAATGAGTTAAAGTGAAAAATAAGACAGAAAAGGATACAGGACTCCTGGACTGACAGGAATGAACTGAAACCTTACAGCATGCTGTCACCAGAAAAGGAGACCAAGAGAGAGATTTAGTTTTTCAGATGGTCCCTTTGGCCTTCTGTGGTTTTGGGTTTTGTTTTTTTTTTTTTTTAAAAAGAAACAAAACTTAATGACACTATCATTTAAAGTCCATTCTAATCTAGTAAAATCTCATTGCAATCCTTCCATTATCTGCAAAGATCCTATTTGTAAATAAAGTTACATTCTGCGTGGAGAGACACTATATAACCTATTATACAGTCTTTTCTTTCTCTGGGGCTCTTTGCAATAGAAATTACTAAGACAAATACCAGTTTCTAAAGTGACTTGAATTAATTCCAGAAGTTGGGGATGTAAAGTCTTATTTGATTAGGCCTTGACTTGCCCAAAATCAACTGAAAAGTCTAACTTATTATAACCACATGTTCAGAATTTTTATAAGGTATGTATTAAATATTAAGTTAGAACCAGCTTAGCCAGATACTTATTGGAGGGAGAAATTATTTTCCTTTGCATTTTATTCTAAATTATGGCTTTAAATATAATGCTAGTGCTTCCCCCTCACCCCCTTCAATCTACTGCTTTTATCTCAAGAGTTTTATGTTCTTGATTAAGGCAGATAATAAAATGTTTATTATTCTTTTTTTAGGGAAACCACCATTCTTAGCAGAATCTTTTGACCGAATTCTTCTTGATGCACCATGTAGTGGGCTAGGACAGAGACCAAACATGGCTTGTACTTGGACTTTGAAGGAAGTAACCTCGTATCAACCATTACAGCGCAAACTCTTTTCTGTGGTATGTAGTGATTCTCTGCTGCTGAGGAGAGTTGATCTTCACAAGTTCGATATTTCAGAAAATTTAGAGCTGCTAACTTTATATGCAGGGGCTTTCTTTTAATGTTTGCTCACTTTTTAAAATATGTGGCAATAGAATTTTTCCACTGTGGCATTTAATGAATTTCAAAGACTCTGCTCTCATTTAAAAAAAAAGTCACAAACCTCTAATTGCCAAATAGTTAGTTACTAATTGATGTAAAGAACTGGATGTAAAATTATTGTTTATTTTACAGGGTTCATTTTATTTCTCCTTGAATCACCTGGGAGAAATAGAAAGGACAAGAAGCCAAGATATTGATAAAAACTGAAAATGACAGGGGCGAGCTTAGGATAAATAATTATAAAAATTTGCATATTTAACTTCTCCCCAGTCTGCTTCAGAAGAAGCCCAATAGAACATTTGAGGATTTTGCTCAGTTTGGAAAAATTTATTTCATAGAGTATGGACAGCATTTATTAAAATCTAATTCACAGAAGGATTATATGATTAGGTATTATTTGCTTGACAAGAGTTCATAATAAAAGCTGCATAGTAAAGAATTTATTTTTTTCAAAGAGAAAAGCAAACTGGCAGGGGGAGGGGTGGGCCGGGAGGAAAAGGTGCAACAATGAATGAATGGTAATCCAAGTTCTCTATAAATTTTCATTAAAACCTCAATTAAAATAAATTAATTCACTGTTTCCTTTTAGTTCTCTTATTCTATATCAAAACCAAACTAACTGCTAGTGGTCAATTCCACTTCATATAGACCTTTTGCTGGATTTCTGAGACTGTAAATCTTACCACAAGGAGACTGGCCATCTTTCTCCTGAGGAGTCGCTCCTGGACTTGATCTACCAGAGACATGCACCCTTTCGGCTAGCAGCCCAACAGGATACAACAAGAATTAACATACTGTTACTGTTCAGTTTTTACAGCCCAAGTGCAGTTCTGGCCGTCTTTCCCAGTGTCTCCTTTTGTCTTTTGTATATAAAGTAACTAGATCAGTGCATTACAGTTTTTCTTCCTAAAGTCTTCAAAGAACACCTTTTAGAACTTAGAACAATGAATAGCAAAGAGAAGCTTTAATTATAGCTGAAAGCCATTTTGATTTCTAGGTAAACTAGAGTATTGATTTAAGAGGCTTGGCTCTTCGGGTTTTTTTAGGTCATAGCTAAAAAGAAAATGTGAACAGACTTGTAGGGTAGGTGGCAAGAGTGTTTGAGGGAGAGCAGACAACAGAGGTACAGAGTCATTGGAAATGTGGACCTCAGGACCAGACATAAGCTTGATTTCACTATTTTCCACCTAAGTGACTTTGGTGAACTGAGAAGAAAAGTGAGCGCATGTGGGGCTATGGGCTATGTGACATTACCTAATAGAGAGGCCACAGGCTTTTACTACTTACACACAGTAATGGGAATAAAAGAAATAGAATCAGTTTCATCTCCAGCTGATCTTCTTTTGGCCCTCTTCCCAGGATAGGGTGACAGACTTCCTCTATGCACGCATCATTCTTCAATGTTTCATAAGGAAAAAGGCAGAGACAAAGGGCTCATGCATCTTAGACCAGAGGGGTTTTCATGCTGAGGTACATAGGAAAAAGGGAAGGGGGAGGAAGAGGGAGGCAACCTTTGATATAGTCTCGCCTCAGAGGAGCCACCTGTCTTGGGGTCATTATCTTTTTTCTTGACAACCTCATACAAAGAATATTTCCTCCTTTGAGAATTCTAAGATTAGATTTTGTAGTATCCAATTATATAGTTAACCATCCCCTTACCATTACTGGGGAGAGGAGCTGTTGTTTCTGTGTGTCTTCAAGTTAGAACCGACTCATAAATGACCCTCCAGTGGGTTTTCAGAGGTAGTAATTGCCTGGGAGGAGATTGCCCCTCCTTCTCCCACAGAGCAGCTGGTGGACTCGAACCATGTGCCTTTTGGATTGCATTGCAGATTGTTACCACTAGGCCACCAGAGCTCCCTTGGGCAGCAGGGCTACTACCCCTCGAGTCCATTTGTGTAGAATACTTCCAGAATAAAGGTCATGTTAGCAGTGGAGAGAGACTACTTTGTGTAGCCTCTGCAGTGACATGCTTCAAAGAGAACTTTCTAAGAAATGGGGATAAGTCCTTTACCTATGTAGAAATACCCCACTGGAGAGATAGACTTCATGCTTATTAAAAGGATTTAGCAAGAAAATCTGTGACATGATTGGCATAGCAGTTGGCACATAGTAACAAAGTTTACATATTGATTAGAATATTCTGGTTAAGAAACTAGCTGTATATTAAGGTTAAACTAGTTACTGGGGACAAATTCATTTCAGCATAACACCTTTACTCATTTGTTTGTTTGACAGATGTTCATTGAGCACTTTCTAGATATAAGACATATTCTATAAGCTGACCATACAGTAGTGTGGAAAAGACGTAAACAACCCTGTTGTTCTTTACATTTCTATTCTATCTGGGGAAGAAAATAGCCAATGTGTAAAGTGAAATAGACAATGTGTAAGGTAAAATAGCCGGTGTTGGAAAGTATTTAGAGTGCTGTTGTTGTTGTTGTTATGTGCCGTTGAGTTGCTTGTGACTCATAGCGACCCTATGTACAACAGCCCTAAACCCTGCTCTATCCTGTGCCAATCTCACTGCCTCTGCCACATCCATCCCGATTACCCCAGTCACTGAATCAATCCACCTCATAGAGGGTCTTCCCCTCCTGCGCTGTCCCTCCACTCTGCCCAGCATTATGTCCCTCTCCAAAGACCTGTCTCTCCTTACAACATGTCCAAAGTATGTCAGGCGAAGCCCCAGAATCCTTGCCTCCAAGGAGCAGCCTGGTTTAACCCTCTCTAGGATCAATCTATTTGTTTTCTTGGCAGTCCATGGTACATTCAGCACTCTTCTCCAGCACCACAGCTCAAAGGCGTCAATTCTTCTTCTATCCTCCCTAGCTACAAGGTGATAAAGTGATTGTTCTGTGGGGTAAACTACAGGAGGGAATGGGGATAGGAGTGCTGAATTAGAATAATTACTGTGTTACATATGAGGGCCGTGTCGGGGCCAGGCACAGCATCGCTGAAAAGGGGCAGATAAATATCAGATTATGAAAGAACAGAGGTAGGAGTTAGCCTGCATGTCCAGGAGCAGAAAGTAAGCTGCTAAGATAGGGTGAGAAAAGGGTAAGAGGTCTATAGGATGAGGTCAGACTGTTCTGACTGCTCTATTGAGAATAAGTTATTGAAGGGCAGGGAAGGAAGGGGTAGAATACGTAGGAGACTGCTGTTGAAATCTAGGGGAAAAGATAACTTAGGTTTGGACCAGAATGAAATGTCAGTGGAAGTGGTGAGATATCAGCTTCTAGGTATACTATGAAAGTAGAGCCAATAAGGTTTGCTGTTGGATGGGGAACATGAGAGAAAGACACGCATCAAGGATAATTAACATCTGGGCCATGAGCAAATGGAAGAAGGGGAAGATTTCTGGTTAGTGGGTTATGGAGAGAAGATAGTTCCATTATGGACATGCCAAATTTGAAATGCCTAACATTGAGTAGAAAGGTCAAAAAAGGCAATTGCTTTTAGGAGCTTAGCGTTCAGAAAAGTCTGGTTTAAAAAAAAAAAAAAGTAAATTGGTGAATCTTCAACCTAAAAGTGGTATAGAAAGTCATGAAATGGAATGATTGCCCTCAGGAAAGTTTTGGTTACCATGGGACTATGACAGTTCTAAGACAAAGACAGACAACCAATCTGGAATATTTACAATAGTTCGTTGTTACTGAGTTGAAAACAACACATAGCTGACCCTCCAGCGGGTTTTCAGAGGCTATAAATTATGCAGGAGGTGGCTGCCCATCCTTCTCCCACAGAGCAGCCACCCTTGGGGTGGCAGCACAACTCCTTATCCACGAGACCAGAGCTCCCTAAACTGGAGTATTAGAGAAGGAGACTTTGTCATAGACTAGTCTAATTATTCCAAACCTTTGGATTAGGTATATATCTTTATAAATATAAAATTCATTCATAGGTATATTTGGTCTTGTCTTATAAAAATGCGTACTCTAATCTCATTTTTTTTTTTAGGCAGTTCAGCTGCTGAAGCCAGGGGGCGTGCTGGTTTACAGCACATGCACTATAACACTGGCAGAAAATGAGGAACAAGTTGCTTGGGCCCTAAAGACATTTTCTTGTCTTCAACTTGAGCCCCAGGTAAGAGTATGGTCATGCAAAATATAACATCTGTTTGGACAACATCTGACTTCATATACATGCATAGTCCTAAAACGAATAACAGAGTTCAGAGATCCAGATCAGACAATGGGATGTAGCGTCCTCCTATATACATCTCTCTTTGTATATAGACTGCAAGGAGTATAATGTTACAGTACACATATTACACAAATAACTTATAATAAATACATGTCTTGATACTTATACTAAGTAACTAAATATTGGCTTATGTATGTACTGTACTATACTTTCTATCTAAAATATTTACCTTATAGCTTCAGCTCATATGCAGCAACATCCAGTCTGTCACATGTCTCTTGAATGTTGAAGAATTAAGTTTTTCTTTTAAAGTATCACAGCTCCCAAACACAGCAAAACCAGTGCAAGGGACAGTAGCAGCAAGAAGCAAAGGGGAAGTTATCGATATGGAAGTAAAACAAAAGGTTATTAAACAACACATGTTGGAAATTCAGTCATTGCAATTACTTGCAATGTAGGCAAGACACACTTGAAAATTACAGTGAACCTCAAAAGCAGAAAACTTTCTCCAGGCAGTTGGAGAACTGGCTCCCCTGAAAGCTGCAAGGCTAACTAACCTGAGAGAGGGCCCTCTACTGAATTTGGAGAAAAAGCTAATGATGTGAAACAAAGACCAAACACCAAAACAAATGCCTGTCAGTACAACTGGTGATCACTGGTAAGGCACGAAACAGAGCAAGTCCAAACCATGGTGTAATGTTTGCATAATGTCTAAAAACCGTAACATCCTAGTTCACATTTATGCAGTTTAGCGTCCATTTACCATAGACAGTAAAGCAATATGTGATTGCAGTTTGTTTTCTCTATGTAATCTGATAAATCACAAAAATTTAAGCATAAACAGTGTTGCATATCAAGCAAAATTTGTGACATAATTATCAGACAATCGATTTCTTTGGTTAGAACCAGTTAGACTGCCCATAGAGGGTTTGCACTTCCTGATCAAGTTTTTCCTGTGCTTATTCTGTTACTGCACGGAAATGCCATAGAATGTAGATCGGTTTTGGGGTTTTTTTTTCTGTTTATCCCATATGTAACTGTTGTTCATGTTACCTAGACCTTTGTTTCAGAGTTTATTTTTCCTTCCCAGTCCTATGTCTCTCTGGTGCAGAAAATACTGAAAACTCTGTCCTCATTAACATGAGAAATAATTTTAAAGCCCAGAAGAGCTTTAAAAACCCTGTAGGCTCTAAATAGATCAGCTAAAAGGAAAAAGGAGGTTCAGGATGATTGCTTTTTTTGTTGTTGTCTACTTTGAGCTGTGGTGCTGGAGAAGAGTATTGAGAGTACCATGGACTGCTAGGATAACAAACAGATTTGTCCTGGAAAGGGTTAAACTGGGTGGCTCCTTGGAGGCAAGGGTTCTGAGGCTCCGCCTAACATACTTTGCATATGTTGTGAGGAGAGACCAGTCCTTGGAGAAGGACATCATGCATGGGGGGTGGAGGGACAGTGCAGGAGGGGAAGGCCCTCTGTGAGGTGGACTGATTCAGTGACTGGGATAATTGGGATGGGAGAGTCAGAGACAGTGTGATTGGCACAAGACAGAGTTTAGGGCTGTTGTACATAGGGTCGCTATGAGTCGCAAGAGACTTGACGGCACATAACAACAACATAAAATGTATAACATTTTAAAAGATTTCCTTTACTTAGCACTAACAATCTATTAGGATTTTTATTAATACTACATTAAGGATTAGATCTTTAGCCTATGATGTTTGAATGAAGTTTAAGTCTGTGAACACACTGAACAACTAATTTTGGTACTTTCCAGTACCGAATTTTAGTAAGTAACTGGAATATACAAGTAAAAAAAAATCCAGAGAGTTTCTGGATCTAGAATTTATGAGAAATAAAGATGAAGGGGACATTTCAAAACTCAGTTGTAATTTTGGATGCATATGTGTGTTATTTTCTCAGCCAAGGTATGCTAAAAAAGTCTTTGTACCACTTTATAGAATAATTTAAAAGAATATGTCTTCCAAGATGTGTTTTAAAAAGTATCTTAAAACCACCTATACATGTGCCCGTGAAGTGGTGAGTTAATAAGGGTTATGAATCTTTTGCAGTAGTGATTTCTCAATTAAAAATGGTTTTATATTTCCCTAAACTGGTTGATGCAGCCCTCATTTGCATATAACTTTTCCAATATCTATTGTTACAGTACTTTAAATAAAGAAAAAGACAACATGTATAATTTAGTTGGTCTGGATCAGAGAGCAGCATTCAGGTGTTAAAAATGCCTGAGGTGCTTCTCGGGAGCTGGCAGGCGTCTTCTGATTGAGCTGTTTTGCTCTGGCTGCAGGGCTGATGATGTTCTGTTCATTGAGCACAGGCTTACTACTATATTTTTAATGCAAATCTCAGGACTTCGTGTTCTACTGAAAAGGAAACAAGGTTAGGTAGAGTTCCTTAAGATCTCACACAGAAACATGGGGAAGAGCTACAATTTGAATCGATGTGCTTCTACCTCTGAGACTCAAGCCCTTTGCAGTGTCACATACTTTATACGCATATGTGGCATGAGAGACACTCACCCCTTAGGTGGCCATATGTTGAAAAACAACATGTGCAGTCCACAGGAATACAAGGTACTTACTCCTTTTTCTATTCTTAGCGGATGTGTTAGACACTGTTGGACACAACCCAGTTTCTTTTAAATTGCACACAGGCACACTTGCTAATTATGGGGATGCTCATCCATACTTACTCATTTTCTCTAAACAGGAACCACAGATTGGAGGAGAAGGAATGATGGGAGCAGGCCTATCATTTGAACAATTGAAACAGCTGCAGCGATTTGATCCATCTGTTGTGCCATTACAGGCCACTGACATTCATTCTCTCAGAGAAACCAGAATTGAAGACATGATCTGGCAGGCAAATAAAGATTGTATAGGTTTTTTTATTGCAAAATTTGTAAAAAGTAAAAGCACATAGAGAAGATCCTCCGAAATTAAAATACCAGACATTTTCTGTGTTGGTTTTGTTGTGTTGTTTTTTTTTAAACCACTGTTGTCAGGCCAACTATCTGATGCCATGGTTGCTAAGGAAACAGAAAAAGCTACCAGCTGTTCCAACAGGATCAAGAGACATAGAGGAAGTAGTGAAGTGGGTGGTATAGGTTTGTTTTGAAAATAAATTTTCCTTTATGAATTTAGCAGTCTATAAAGCAAACGAAATGCTTTGAGATGTCTAGAACACATTATATTTTAGGGTCCTATGTTTCATTTTCTAAAGAATGCAAAATAATTGCTTCACAATTCAAAGTTAGTAAATCCAAAAGAAGGAATGAAACTGGCAATATTTAATGTGACCATAAAAAAAAAACAAACAAAAAACAAAACAAAATTCAGAGTTCCTTAGTGTTCCTTAAGAGTTTAGGGTACATGACTTTATTATATGTGCTAAACTTTAAGGTGTTTTACCTGAATATTTTTCTGCTTATTTGGTAAACCACACTCTTTTAAATGAAGTCTACACTTATTAAATGAAGATCTTCATGATGTTAATTTTAAAAATGATTTTATTCATTTAAATTATTTTTAGACTAAAAAGTTGAGGATTTCCTTCCCTTTGTAAACTGAAAAAAAAAAAAAAAAAAGAGGGAATTCCACAAGTTGGGTAACTTCAAACATATATTGGAACATTTGTTATCTGTCATAGAGTTGAACCAACTCATAGCTGACCCCTCCTGTGGGCTTTCAGAGGCAGTCAACTGCTTGTGAAGAGATTGTCCATCCTTCTCTCTAGGAGCAGCTGGTGGATTCGAACCAAGTCACTTTTGCATTGCGGTGCACTTTCGTACCCCAGAGACCACCAGAAATTCCTTGCTTAACCATATAAGTTAGAAATCCATTAGAAACGTGTTTGGTGGGAAAGAGAAAACCTGCTCCCAACAGCCAGGAGCGGGCCTGACCCTCAAAACTGTATTCTTCTGTTGAACACAGAAAAACAGAAAACCCATCCACATCAGAGGAGCCACTGTAACCATGATGGAACGAGACAAAAAAGACCACTGCATAATCAAATCTGAGCTCAGACAAAACCAAGACATAGACCAGATTATATAAATGGCCACTATGAGTGCTACATTCTGTTGATGATCGAATTAGCCTTGTTTCATTCTATCCACGCCATCTCTCACATTGCTGTCAAGTTGAAAGCGACTTACAGCTGTTGCTCCACTGGTTTCCAAGACAGTAAATCACATGGGAAGAGGCAGTCTTTCTCTCTCTCTCTCATGGAATTGTTGATGGATTCCAGTTACCAGAGTGACACAGTCTTTGGGTTAGCAGAGAAGCCCTCTAACAACATATGCTACCAGAGTTCAATACCCATATATTTTATCTATTAAAGCATCAAATCACAGAATTACTTCTACTTTCTGCATCTAATCTAAAGCAACAGACTTGAGTTCTTGAAACATCACCAAATCAATGCTGTATACAGCTCCTCCTGAGTCAACAAGCCTAACTCTGTTAAAACACATGCAGGACAAATGAAAGTTAGTAAATACTTACTACTTAAACAAATTATTTTTTGAAAGAAAATGTTCTGAGCATAGTAACTGAGTACAGTTTATCTGTCATTATAATTAAGAACACTGATGACTGTGGTTAAAACATTTACTCATCTGCTAACCAAAAGGTTAGCAGTCATTAAATGACTGCAGGAGAAAGATGAGGGGGGTGTTTCATTGAAGAGTTAGGGGCTTGGGAATTCTATGGGGCAGCTCTACCCTTCAGAGTGGAAGTGAGTTGGAAAACAATTCCATGACAGTGGGTTTGATCACTACAATGGTTATCCAGTTATGTTTCATTCAGCACAAATGGGGGCCTGGATCCGGACCACAGGATCAATCTGTAACATGCTCTCATGATGGTCTTCATTGCATCACATAGTTCAGAGCAGCTGCACAGTCCTGACTCCTTAGAAGGGGTTGTATAAGAGCCACCATTTAAAGGCTACCTCGTTAGGTGTTAAGTGCACTAAATTATTTGGCTTAGCTTTTATTCAAATAGCTCAGGCATCTTGGCCCTTGGATAATTATTGCTTAATAATTTCTTCCCTCTGCTCCCGTATTAGGAATTTCTCAAATTTATGGAAGCCATAAGGATCACAAGGTCTCTTGAATCAGGTAAAGTCTCTAGATAGTTTGTTCTTTTTTTTTTGATAGTTTGTTCTTTTTAGAGCTCTTCTTTCCTTGTGCCCTTCCCTGAGGTTGCTTTTGGAACCTCTTTCTACCCTGCTTTCCTGCCATTCATCCTGCCCTCACTGTGCCAATGAGGTCCTTGGTCCCCTAGACCCACATTTCCAGGGGGCAGAAACCAAATAATTTCTTTTTTTTTTAATTTTTTTTATTTTTGTGTGCGTGTACCGTCAAATCAGATCTGACTGGTACAGGAGGAGATGGCCCCTCCTTCCCCGGCAGAGCACCTGGTGGATTCGAACCCTGCACCTCTGGGATTGTAGTTGCAGCTTCTTGCCACTAGGCCACCAGAGCTCCCCCCAAATCATTTCTATAACTGCTTCAAAGTTGACAGCCACTAAACACCAAATGAAAAGGGAAAAAAAAAATTCAAGTGATTAAAATATGTGAACCTTCCTCGTGCTCAGTAGATACCGCCTGACTAAACAGAAACACTGTTCACTTTTGGCACTTCTGTTTCCAGGGATCAAACTTTAAATGTTATTTGAAGAAAAGTTGCAAGATTTTATATCTTCTTATACTCTCTAAAAGTCATATGAGCTACTCACAGTCGTAGCGAGTGAGAACTGACTCATAGCTGACCCACCCCAGTGGGGTTTTGCAGGCTGTAATCACCTGGGGGAAGATTGCCCATCTTTCTCCCATAAAGTTCCTGGTGGATTTGAACTGCCTGAGCAGTGCCACCTTTGGGTTAGCAACACAAGACATTATGGAATATGCCACCCGAGCTCCCTTGATAGGGCCTATGCAGTGATGAAAATTGTAGACCAGACTTACAAACTCAAGCTGGTGTCAAGTTCTTATCTATCCATAGCAGCAAGGAGAAAAACATGTCAGCAAAAAGGCAAGTATCTGCATACTGAAAACGGAACAAATAAAAATATTAACAAATAACATTTTTTTCTTTAGCAAAGACAATTTTCAGTGGGTTTCTTTAAAAAAATAAAGAAAATTGGAAATAAAACATATGCTCAAGGGACACAGATTTGAGGGATAATACAAGAAAAAGGGAAATGTGAAGGAGAGTACCTTTTAACATAATTTGTGTCAGCATTTATGTTTCTATGAAACAGAAAAAGGCATTTAAATCCAACAGCAGAGACATTTTACTACAAAACCTTGTACCCTATTTTTTTTTATATATATATTTTTTGTACCCTATTTTAAATAGCAAGACCCAAACCCAGATCCATTGAGTGAAGTACCAGTGGTTAAAATGTAGCAGAAATTAAACAGGCCAATCATCAATGAGTTACCTATTTTGTTAACACAGATCTTAAGTTTTATTAAGATGAGGATGTTTGAGCATCACATTATTTGAACAAAGGGGCAAGGAGTATGAATTGTCATCAAGCTGGATCTTCATTTTAAAAACACATGATTAAATTCATTATCTGAGCCAAGAATTACTGCACAGGTAGCATTAAGGTGGGAGAAAGCTGTAGCTGACATAAAATTATTTTCCTACCTTGTGCTAGTATCTCTTTAATTTTTAATTTTTTTTTAAGATCAGACATAAAGAGAAGGTTACTAAAAGACTGTCCAGTGATTAGCATTACCCATGAGGAGAATGCTACAAAAGTGGGGAGTGTTTAATATGAAACATATTCTGAACTAAAAGAATCATTCCTAAAATGTCAATCAATACTACTACTAATAAACAGTGCAGAAGCCAGCTCTTTATTCATTTTATATGAATAACTTGAAACCAAATTTGTTGAACAGTTCAGTGTAGCTGACAATGAACGTTTAACAGAATGCATAGCAGACCATGTTAAAATGTGGCATTGTCCCAAAGTACAATATGTCTAAGATGGCCTATATTTAGCAGCACCTTTTGTAACAGAAACTTAAATGAGCAGTAGAGATGGAGCATAGGAAAAACTATAATGGGTACAAAAAAAAATCCCTCCCAAACCATAGAACTACTAAGTACTTTTTTCAGCATTTTCTAAGTTGACTACAAAAAAAAAAAAAAAATCATGATTCTACAGCCGAGTAGGTTAAGGTTAATCCCTTGCTGCATGAAAAGACTGTAGTTTTATATTCCACAATCAGTAAATATCCCATTGCCCTTAGAAATACTTTATAGTTTACAAGTGTAGCATACTGTTTACTCATTTGGGCACAATAGTTTTTATATATTTGCTTTTTTGCCAAATCTTGCAATATAATTTTTTTAATCAATAGTCTGATTGGATTCACATGTGAGAAAATGAGAATTTAGACTCCATCACCCTCCCCATGATAAATGGGGGGGGGGAAGATGGAATCAGCACTGTTCTTTGAATTAATGTAGCAGCAAGTAAGATAAATACCAGTTACCCTTGACAAAATTAAATATTCTGATGTAAAATATGTAAGAAAGGTCATGTCTGATCAATATAATCTAGTATACTAGAAAGTCATCAGAAATATTTCATAATAGCATGTTTAATGGGGATATAGTTTCCCAATGATGTGGACATTCTGTGTAAAATGAACATATGATCACTGTTTTATATTCAATAAAATTCATGTAAACAGAGTTAATGAACAGATTGATTATGAGGGGAAATTTTCATATATAAGCTGAGAAAACACTAAGAACTCAAATCACTTAAAAAAAGCACTGAGTTTTCTTGGAGGTTGAGAAAATGAGTTAACATACAAAAACAGTTTTACTTTATAAGATCTGAGAATGTTTGGCAAAGACCTATAATAATCAAAGAAGCAAAACAAAACAAAAATATATATTTTAATTAGTGTGTCAAATAAGTTAATATACAGATCTGAAGTTAGGCAACTATAGATAGGCATTTTTTTCTCAGGACAATCTTCAAGTGCTAGGTATTTACATACCTAATACTGTTTTTGCTATCCAGTGATAACTGGACAAACTATATGCATAAAGATATGGAGAATTTCTAGCTTTAATATTAACAGTATCGAGATTCTCATGTAGCTGTATAATTGAGGCATAGAAATCCTATCTTTTGAGTTTCCCTTCAGATATCTGATATAGGGAAATATTCAGGAGCTTTGATCCAATTTTTGAAAGTTCAGTCATGGCTGAAGAAATGACAACAAAATGAACTGGTGTATAAAATGTGGATGCACTCAAAGGATAACTACAATGGGACAAATTACAGGTTGATGTTTTGCTAGAAACTTAATCTCCCCTCTAGAAACAAGGGTAATATGCATGTTGCATGGCAACCATAGCTCTTTAACAGCAGAGTCAGAAACAGTGATATCCAGCTCAAAATGGCCACTAACCTCATAGTTTTGAATATGTGTCACTCTCTACCACCCTAGCAATAATCTTATCTCCCTCATTAGGTGAAAGAACTCACTATAGCTTTTCCATGTTTCCCATCTAGGGCTTCAACCTGTAATTTTCCCTAAACCAATTATCATTTTCATATACTCACATTTTCCACATACAGGTCTGTTTCAATTTCAGTGTGTCAGCCATGACTGAACTGGTTCAAACTATTTCAAAGCCCTCACTAGTTCAAAGACTTACTTTAAGTCACCTCATTTTGCCCTGATTACCTTTGAAAAGCAGAAACTTTGGTTATAAGAAGCACTTCTGGGTTTTGACAGACAACAAAATTCTTGGAGTTGCCAGGACCAGGGGCAAGGGTGGAGTAACTGGGAGATAAAACAACAGGAACAGTAGGCAAAGTTAGAAAATAAAGTGGGACAAGTTATAAAATTTATTTTCCCCACGAAATAATTCCACAATCTATGTAAACTTTCTTGCTAAAACAAATACTCTAACAAAGATTATACATTTCCAGTGAAACACTCACAGTAAAAATTGCCTGTATGTTCACTCTCTGGGAGCAAAGTTGAGCCAGCAGATAAATGCTTTCCTAGTTACCTTTGGCAGTAAATGTATTTCCATTCCCTGACTGCTCAATGGATCATTAAAGCAACACAAAGCACAATTAAATAAAAAGCCAGACAGACTTGGTATCAGTTTCTTTTCTTCCTTAGTCTTCAGCATTCAGATTCACTTTCACCCCAGTCGCCTGTACACACTTGTTCATACAGACACACACATACACACTCGTGCACACAAAGAATTCAGCTTGTAAACTCCAGTGCTGTGACTTGAACAGACACTTGCTACTAAGAATATGTTTGTCACAATCAGTGAGAACCATATGGATTAGGACAATTTCTGGAGTTTGGTTATATATATTTTTTTACCATAATTTATGGTCAAAATTATGAACTTACAAGGCTGGTGTAACATTCAAAAATCAAATCTTTTCAAGTCAAGCAATCACGCATATTTACAGTATGTACAGACTTTCTACTGCAATGAAGAAAGGGGTCTAGACAATGGTATTACAAATTTCCTGAATGTGGGCATTTCTAGTCCCTGTAATTCATAAAGCAAATCTGCTGACTTGGCATTAAGACTCTAAAATAGTGTGATCAAACTGATATATATATATATGTATATGTATATAATATTATATATAATTATAAGAAGGTGTTTGCAGAAATAACATTTACAAACTGTCTATACAGTACACAGTACTAGTACATAGAAAATAGATTCTAACTTTATGATCCCCTTTGTGTAAGGCAAGACTGAATCTGTCCCCAAATTTAGTCAGCCAGAGGTACAAGCAAGAGACAGTGGTCCATGAATGAATGGATATGCAAATCAGGTGCCTACCTGTAAAAATCTGGATAAACAAATTCCACTTTTTGTCTGTGTTGACTCTGGCTTGCTGGATACACCAACCATGTATCAGAAAACATCAACTACACGTCTTAAAATACTAACACCACCCAGATGGCAACAGATTTTGTTCAAGTGGCAGCTACCCAAAACAGTTTTTGCTTGTTTATTTTTTAAGTCCAGTATACAACTGGAGGACTGCAGCTGTACCAGGCTAATTCATATAGCACTTACAAAAGAAAAAAAATAGTATATTAATACTCTATTTCATGCTATTGCTATTCAAGCAACAGCAATATAAAATATACAAGACAGATCACATATGATTGCAATGTAGGCCCCAAAGCTTTTGCTTGAGGGTGCTGTTATACAAGACTTCCAAAAAACCCCACAAAAGGGCAAAGTCATTGGCGGATGTAAACATCCCTGCTCCACTCCCCCGCCTCATTCCTTTTTCTGGATATTACTTCTCCATCCTTGTCACAGTAGCGATCCTTTGATTTGTGACGGCTTCTTTGTTTGTTGCACTCGTTGTGGTCCTGCTCCCGCTCTGTGTCCCTGGTGCGATGCCGAGTTTCCCTGTGTCTGTGATCGCTGCTGCCATGGGGCTCGTCTCTGTGGTTGTGGTCACGGTGTGGGGCATAGTGGTCTGCGTGTTCGTGGGAATAATCCTCCTTTGGTTCCACATAGGCAGAGTCTCGACTTTCCTGGGTTTCTGAGTCAAATGTCTCTTGCCTCGAGAGGCCTCGACTTGCACCACTGCGATGGTTGTGGTGTTGGGCTGAGGAGGAAGAGCGATGCTGCGATTTCTTGACTGGTTCCGGGCAGGGTTCTTCTTCGGCTTGGGAAGCAGACCGGGCAGGGGCAGACCTCTCAGTCCTCTGATCAGCGTGAGAACCCTAGCAGGGAAGGGACAGCACCCAGACATGAACCAGGTTTGAAATACAGGGAATGAACATCACTCACTGATTCACTGTCATCCACTCAGAACTGATGCATAGCTGGTCCTACAGCAGGTTTCTGAGGCTACAAAGCTGCTACAGGAGTAGCTTGCCCATTTTTCTCCTGAGGAGCTGATGGTGGAGTTGAAAAGCCAGAAAGACAATGTCACTGAGTTAGCAGACAACTCCCCACAGATTATGCTATCAGAACCTTGCCTTATCCTTAGCCATCATCAAGACCCCTGATACGATCAAATCCATTGTGATATAGTCATTTTGTCAATCCATGTCTTTGAAGGTTTTCCTTTCTTTTGCTGATCTTCTACCTTTTCCAGTCACCAGTTCAGTCTCTTTTATGTATCTAAAATGCTGAAGTGTCATCTAACCTAGCCCTGTTATCTGATTTTACTGGTATTGGCCATGGGTGTTTATATAGTTCATCCTATATAAATTAGAATTTTTGTTCATTTTTAAGTGCCAAGAACACTGTACATAGTCATGATTGGTTGTTGCTGTTAAATAGATGAGGGGAAAAATTCTTAGATATGTGTTTTGTGTTTCAAATACAGTTAATGAACATGTAGGAGATTTAAAGTAATTCGTTATTGTTGTTATATGATAGCTATGTTAGTGACTCTAGGGGCAACAGATCTGAACCTTGCTGGTAGGTTTTGGCTTAAGGATTAAGAAAGAGTACAAAAAGGATAATGATGATAAAAATATCAAATGCTTAACTGACATTTAGTGTGGAATAGGCTTTTTTACACTCACACTAGAAAGTAAAGACATGAAAACAAATGGAAGAAACGATGAAGAGAAAGAAATAGATGGTTCCAAAGGGCAGCTCAAGAAGACAAAGCAAAGTATTGTAATGAAAAGCGAAAAGAGCTGGAGTTAAAAAACCACAAGAGAAGAATAGGCAAGTAGCAATATGGAGGATTGTATGGGCCAAATCTTGTAGGAACAACATAGGTAACATTAAGAGAAGATGAAGGGAATACACAGAGTCACTGTACCAAAAAGAACTGGTAAACACTAAACATTTCAGGAAGTAGTCTATGATCAAGAACCAATTATAGTACCAAAGGAAAAAGTCCAAGTGACACTGTAGGAACTGGAGGGGGGCAGAAGGGCTGTGGAAATTGATGGGATACAAATGGAAGGGTTTCAACAAATAGGTGAAGCCCTGTATACTCACACTAGTTTATTTCAAGAAATTTATAGGATAAATACTTGGCCAAAGATTGGAACAGTTCCATACTTGTTCCCATTTTAATAAAGAAATGATGATTCAACAGACTGCAGAAATTACTGAATAGTATTATCAGAAAGTAAAATTTTGTTGAAGATGATTTTTTTAAAATGCCTAGAATCTAACTTGGGACGGACTGGAGAGCATTATGCTATGTGAACTAACCCAGTCCCATAAGGACAAATACTGTATATGACCATTATTGCAGAACATGTATGAGGATCCAAGGGGGGGGCAGGGTAAGAGCAGAGGGGTGAAGATGGGTAAGGGGGGTGTTTAATCATAGGGTCACACAATTTGATAGGTGGAGTGAGGAGTCGGAAGAGGAAATGGGTAAGATCCAGTGTGAAAATAATGTATATGAACTGTGTAAATAAACCAATATAAAATAAAAAATTTATCTTAAAAACAAAACAAAACAAAATGGCTGGAACAGTACATTGACAGGGTATTGCCAGAATTCAAGGATTCAGAAGAGTTCACAGAAGAGGACTATCATTGCTGCTGTTAGATGGATCTTGGCTGAAATTAGAGAATACCAGACAGATGTTTACTTGTGTTTCATTGATTATGCAAAGGCATTTAACTATGTGGATAATAATAAAGTATGGATTGAGAAGACTTGAAATATCAGAACAGTTAGTTGTGCTCATGTGAAACCTATACATAGCCTAAGAAACAGCTGTCCCAAAAGAACAACACAACATGTTTTAAAAATCAGGAAAGGTGTGTCTTAGGGTTACATCTTTTCAATTTGTGTTTACAATCCTATTCAATTTGTATGTTGAGCAAATCATTCAAGAAGCTGGACAATATGAAGAGGAATGTGGCATCAGGATTAGAGGAAGACTCATCAACAACCTGTCTTAAGGCAGATGACAGAACTTGCCTTGCAGAAAGTGAAGAAGACTTGAAGAACTTACTACAGAAGATCAAAGATTATAGCCTTCCCTATAGGTTACAACTCGACATCATGAAAATAAAAATCCTCAACCTTGCTTGAATCAAGTGGCAGCATCCTGATAAATGGAGAAAAGATTGATGTTAAGGATTTCATTGCACTTAGATTTGCAAATTTTAATATCCATGGTAGCAGCAGTCAAGAATTCAAGATGTTTTGCAATGAAAAAAACAAAACAACAAACCTGCTATCAAAGACTTCTCCAAAATACTAAGCATATATCAGTTTAAAGAATACAGTGTGCCTGATGCAAGCCATGACACTGTCGATTGCTTTTGTGTATCTGAAAGTTAGTTGTTCAATTAATGAGCAAGCTCAAAGGAGAACCGATGCCTTGGGATGGTAGGGTTGGTGAAGAGGACTAAGTACCACGTGGAGTTCCCAAAGAACAAGTCTATCTTGAAGGAAGTGCAACGAGGGTGCACCTTAGCAGTAAAGATAGTGAAACTTTGTCTCACCTTGGGCAGGGGGTCAGGAGAGGCTAGTCCTTGGAACCAGACATCGTGCTTGGGAAGGTAGAAGGTCAGCGAGAGAGAGAAAGACTCTCAATGAGATGGGCTGACACAGTGATGGTAACAATGGGCCCAAGGACATCAGAGATTGTGAGGCAGGAGCGGCTGGGGGGGCAAGGTGCAGATCTGTTGGTTCACAAAAGTCACAGTGGACTCGAGGGGACCCAACAACAACAACACGGGGTAGGTACTGTCTTCGGACTTCTAAACACATATTACCTCAGTGACTACCACAACCCCTGAGACAGGTTACCATTATTTCTTCAAAGGAAACTAAGCCGTTGAAGAACTTGCTCAGGATGGCGCACTGGTGAGAGGTAGGAGCTGGTTTTGCACCCAGGAATTCTGGTTCTGGAGACTGTGCTGTTAACTGTATAAAAAGTTTTATCATCTTTGTCTTAAAGAATTTGTTTTTAATGAGTCTATATAAAAGTCGTTATGAATCATCTATGACTCAATGGCACTTAACAAGAATGAGAGAGTTCTGTTGGCCCAGTAAATAGAAAGTTATGCTACCAAGCCAAAGATGAGTGATTTTAAGCTGCGGCACTCAGGCCTGGTTTTAATCATTTTTGGTCAAACATTCTTCTAAGCGGTATAGCAGTGCCCTGTCCATTTGCTGTACAGAGGTAACTATGTGGTTGCTGTGATGCTAAACACTGTGACACTGATGAGTCAAATGCGATAATGGTTATCCATGGTGGAAAGACTTTGGTGGGGGTCCCCGATTAAAACAAGCTTGGAAGCAGGAGTGGCATCCACTTCTGAAATAGCTTGCCTCCAGAAACTCTATGAACATGGAGAAATGATTAAAGTTATACAAGTATTCAAATCTTCGTTAAAGGGTCACTATGAGTCGTCTATGACTCTACAGCACTTAACAACAACAACAGAATAAAAGTATATATATTTCAATAGTCGATTCTGTTTATATTATTTCTTACAGGTACACATCTCACAGTTGTTTCGATTTTTTTAAACTGTGCTGCTTCAGGTGAAAGGCTACAGAATAAATGAGCTCCTCTCTCTATAGCCTGTCTGTGGTATTGCTTGTATTACCCATAATCTGTTAGCCCTCTCTCCATGTCCACCTGAGTCCTTGTTTTCTTTCCTTGGGATCTTCCACTCCTTTCCTGCCTTCTCAACACTGCTTCTGGGCTAACGTCCTTTTTGAGTCCTCTTTATGCTGTCATGTGGCAGACCATGCATGCACTGAATGAATATGCAGAATGGCTGGGAAGCTTCATAACCAGGTCTGGATCCCAGTGGTGTGACTGCAGACCATGTAATGTCTATGAGAACTGTAAAAAGGATCTCCCTTACCTGGGTATTAGAGGCCAAGGTGGGGCTAACAGGCAGAGCTGAAGGGGCTAAAGTACGGCTAAGGAGAGGATTGGGCAGAGTGCTGCTTGGAGGATGGGTGGCCTTCCAGTAGGCCTCCAGGTAGTCAGCAAGGTGCTCACAGGCGTCCTCCAGCTGGTTCTCGTCCAAGATAACATCGAACAGTTCCTGCACAGGTGAGTATGAGACATTACGATTACACCAGCCCGGGACTGGCTGAGTTCCTCCCATCCCTTCAGCACTGTGAAAAAGAGGGAGGAAGGGAGGCAGGGAGGAAGACGCGGAGGGACCGGTGGGAGTCATATTTGTCCCACTCTCTCCTTTCTGCTATTTGTCTGATTTCAGAGTATAAGTGTTTGCCCATCTCAAATAATTATTTAGAACACTCAGGACTTAATTCATAAAAGTGATCAGTGATTATTTTATAATTATTATTGTTATGGGAATAATATAAAAGTTATCAGTCAGCAATGCAAAACAAATTGATACTATGGTAGAGAAGCAATGAAAGCCATGACCGTGATCTGGCTTGTCCAGGTGCTCAAAACAAGTGATCCTGGAGGGAGACAGGACAGCTCACTTCTTTGGAATTAGTAATATCATAGATAAATGAGTAAGATTTAACCTACTGAGCTTGTGTGTGCATGTTAGTGTAATACTGGGTCTGATCTCTTCACTGGATTGTATTGTACGGTGCAATAACTTACTGGAGGACACTGCGCCAGCTTATCAGCCGCTACCATCTGCACATTGAGGTGTTTAGCTTGAGATTTCCCCCGAGATTTTATTAACCTTTGTAAAACCTGTAAAAGACGGGATTTTTTAACAGAGAAAGATCTGCACTCAGGTTAACTACCAAGTAGATTCATTCCTTTCTCTGGTGCCTTTTAATCTATTGCATACTGAAGTTTCTAATAGACTTAAGAGGGAAAAAATGAGTATCTGCAAAGTTAACATGTTTACATATATTTCAGTTGGCAAAATTTCTCCCCCTATTCCTCATTGTTTGAATGAAAGTTAGCAAAGCAAGTTGGTTAAACATTCAACTATTCACATACATTTTGTTTTACGACATTAACTGCAGTATCTAGAATATCATTTCAGTCTCCCCACTGCCTCCTTATTACTGTTGTTTCCATTAACCTTTCTACCCTTTTCTGTTTTCTCCATGGGCAAACGCTGGCTGTTCTTTTGATCTTCTGTGGTTAAAGGGGTGAGTTTTGTTCTAGTTAAAGCAAGACTAATAGCCATAGTCTCGGGGGTCAGGTGAAGCTTTATAAAACATTATGAGTATGAAATTTTTTCCGAGTGTATTTTCCCCCTAAGTGCTTGGTTCTCACACTTTGTTTTGGGACCCCTTTACACTTAAAAAATCATTGTTTGTGGAAATTGTATTTAATGTGTATATTAGAAATTGAAACTGAAACATCTGAAAATATTCAATTTATCTGGTGGCCTAGATTAAGAAACTGTGTTGCGGTCGATCCCAAAGGCATGAGATTTGAATCCACTAGCTGCTCTGTGGGAAAAGGATAGGCGTTCTCCTCCTGTGTGATTAACTGCATCTGAAAACCCACTGGAGCGTCTCAACTTGATGGTATACAACAACCATAACAACTAGAAATTGAAGCTGAAACCTTTGAAATTATTCCATTAATTAAAATAGCAATATAATTTTTGCATGTTAACATAAATTACTTATTTTATAAAAAGAACTATATGTTTTACAAGTATCTCTAATGTCTGACTTCATCAAATACATTTGGATTCTTCTATCGGCTTTGACATTCAATCTATTATATATTGTTTTAGTTGACATATATGAAGGCTATCCAGCCTCCTACAGGTAGGTGACTGAGAAAAGGAAAAATATTTTAAACAGCTTTCTTTCATATAGTTCTGTTTATTGTTCTTCATACTACAGCAAACACAAGTGGCAATTTCTTAAAGATAACTTATCATGCAGATTCTAATGCCCTATCAGTGACTTTTTTTAAATTGTTACATTCCATTCTATTAGTCTGTCTTGAATGTTGATTGGTTCCTCACTCAATGCTTGCTTTATAATGACATTCATTGATTATTTGGAAACAATGGTGTTAGAGATAGAGTTAGGAGGCTGGAGATGAAGAAACTTCAAAAGAATGAGGGAGCAGGTAATGGTTGATAAGAAATAGCCTATGAGTAGCCATGCTCATGTAATCATATTCATTAGCATCACCAATCTCATGAGAGCAAGCAGTTAACTGCTGAGAAGCTGCCAAGCTCACAGAGCTAGATTTCATGTTTTCTAAATTAGAATTTTCTTGCTTTAAAGCTTGAATTTTATCATTGGCAGCAAATACTGTTAGTTGTTTTCCTTTAAATGAGAGAGCGCTCCACTTTGTTCACAAAAAATATATGTCAAATACCCAAGTTTAAAGAACCATAATCAGTTCTTTTTTTTCCAAATAAAATGGTATTCCATAAAAAAAGAAAAAATGGCAATTGCATTTACAATGCAAATAATCCCACAAGTGCTAGTTCTTAAAATAACTCTTACTTTGAGAATATAAACACTAATATGCATTTCCTATTTCTCTACTCACCACATTAAATCAACTTGTACTTAAGTGTCAAATCGGTGCAACCACCGTAGAAGGCGGTAAGGCACTTTCTCAAAAAGTTACAAATAGAGATACCCTTTGATCCAGCAATTTGACTACTGGAAATATACCCCAAAGAAACCATAACTGACATACAAACAGATATATGCACACCCATGTTTACTGCAGCTTTGTGCACAATATCAAGGAGTTGGAAACAACCTAAGTGCCCAT